CTTAATGTAATAAAAGCCATCTATGACAAACCCACAGCCAACATAATGCTTAATGGGGAAAAGTTGAAAGCATTCCCTCTGAGAACTGGAACAAGACAAGGATACCCACTCTTATCACTTTTCTTCAACATAGTACCAGAAGTCCTAGGCAGAGCAATCAGACAAGAGAAAGAAATAAAGGGCATCCAAATTGATAAAGAGGAAGTTAAACTGTCACTGTTTGCTGATTATATGATCGTTTACCTTGAAAACCCTAAGGGTTCCTCCAGAAAGCTCCTAGAACTGATAAGAGAATTCAGCAAAGTTTCCAGATACAAGATTAATGTACACAAATCAGTAGCTCTTCTATACAACAGCAACCAAGCAGAGAATCAAATCAAAAACTCAACCCCTTTTACAAGAGCTGCAAAAAACTAAAATAAAATACTTAGGAATATACCTAACAAAAGAGTCAAATGACCTCTACAAGGAAAACTACGAAACACTGCTGAAAGAAATCACAGACATTACAAGCAAATGGAAACATATCCCACATTCATGGATGGGTAGAATCAATATTGTGAAACTGACCATAATGCCAAAAGCAATCTACAAATTCAATGTAATCCCCATCTCAAAATACCACCATCATTCTTCACAGAATTAGAAAAAAAAAATTACAAAATTCGTATGGCACCAAAAAAGAGCCCACATAGTCAAAGCAAGACTAAGCAAAAAGAACACATCTGGAGGCATCACACTATCTGATTCCAAACTATACTATAAGGCTGTAGTCACCAAAACAGCATGGTACTGATACAAAACACAGAGACTAATGGAACAGAATAGAGAACCCAGAAATAAACCCAAATACTTACAGCTAACTGATCTTTGGCAAAGTAAACAAAAAACATACAGTGGGGAAAGGATACCCTTTTCAATAAATGGTGTTTGGATAACTGGCTACCCACGTGTAGAAGAATGAAACTGGATCCTCATCTCTCACCTTATACAAAAATCAACTCAAGATGGATTAAGGACTTAAACCTAAGACATGAAACTATAAAAATTCTAGAAGATAACATTGGAAAAACTCTTCTTAGGCAACAATTTCATGACCAAGAACCCAAAAGCAAATGCAATAAAAACAAAGATAAATAGCTGGGACCTAATTAAAGAGCATTTGCATGGCAAAAGGAACAGTCAGCAGAGTAAACAGACAACCCACAGAGTGGGAGAAAATCTTCAAAATCTATACATCTGACAAAGGACTAATACCCAGAATCGGCAATGAACTCAAACACATCAGTAAGAAAAAAACAATCCCATCAAAAAGTGGGCTAGGACTAGACATGAATAGAGAATTCTCAAAAGAAGATAAACAAATGGACAAAAAACATATGAAAAAATGCTCAACATTACTAATGATCAGGGAAATGCAAATCAAAACCACAATGCAACACCACCTTACTCCTGCAAGAATGGCCATAATAAAAAAATCAAAAAACAGTACATGCTGACATGGATGTGGATAACAGGGAACACTTCTACACTGCTCGTGGGAATGTAAACTAGTACAGCCACTGTGGAAAACAGTGTGGAGATTCCTTAAAGAACTAAAAGTAGAACTACCATTTGATCCAGCAATCTCACTACTGGGTATCTACCCAGAGGAAGAGAAGTCATTATTCAAAAGAGATACTTGCACACACATGTTTATAGCAGCACAATTCATAACTGCAAAATCATGAAACGAATCCAAATGCCCATCAATCAATGAGTGAATAAAGAAACTGTGGTATATATCTACAATGGAATACTATGCAGCCATAAAAAGGAATGAACTAACAGCATTTGCAGTGACCTGGATGAGATTGGAGACTATTATTCTAAGTCAAGTAATTCAGAAATGGAAAAACAAACATCACATGTTCTCACTGACATGTGAGAGCTAAACTATGAGGATGCAAAGGCATAAGAATGATACAATGGACTTTGGGGACCTGGGGGGAAGAGTGGGAGGGGGGCGAGGGATAAAAGATGACAAATAGGGTACAGTGTGTACTGCTCGTGTGTTGGGTGCACCAAAATCTTACAAATCGCCACTGAAGAACTTACTAATGTAACCAAATACCACCTATACCCCAATAACTTATGGAAAAATAAAATAAATGTTATTAAATAAATGCTAAAAAAATAAAAGAATAAAATAAAAGGCATGACCATATGTAATAGACCTTAGAAAGACGACCCTTCGAAAGTAATTAACGTGGATGGGTTGGTTGCTTCATGAATAAGCCCCCTAAGCTACTCAGAAGCCTTGATTATCTAAAGTGAAGCATTCAAAAGGTGTCTAAGAGCACAAATTACAGTTCGTGTTATTTTGCTTAAAAAGATCTATTTCTCTCCAAGTTTAGAATGTATAACTAAACACATCTTATTCTCCAACTTGTACTTCCCACCACTGAGTTGTGAGGCTCTGGATAGCTTAATGAAATATTCTGGAACTCATATTTTCATCTGGAAATGAGAAGATTAGATCCCTTAGATCAGAAGTCAGCAAACTTATAACCTACAGGCCTGCATCTGTTTTTGTAAATAAAGTTGGATTGAAACACAGCTACCCTCATTCCTTTATACATTGTCCATGGCTGCTCTCACTGAACAATCGAAGAATTGAATCCTTGTGTCTAAGATAATCTAGACTTCAGGGCCTAAAATATTTACTACTTTTCAGGACAAGTTTGCTGATATCTGACTTAGATTATTCTTTATTTTTTAAGTGGAGAGAGATATAAAAGAATGGAAATCCATATATATTGGCCAGGCACCAGTGGCTCATGCCTGTAATGTCAGCACTTTGGGAGGCCAAGGCAGGCAGATCACCTGAGGTCAGAAGTTTAAGACTAGCTTGGCCAATATGGTGAAACCTCATCTTTATTAAAAATGCAAAAATTAGCCAGGTGTTGTGACATGCCCCTGTAATCCCAGCTACTCAGGAGGCTGAGGCAGGAGAAATGCTGAACCCTGGAGGTGGAGGTTGCAGTGAGCCAAGATCCAACCACTGCACTCCAGCCTGGGTGACAAGCAAGAATCCATAAATCTATATATATATGTTTGTGTGTGTGCATATATATATATACACACACACACACTATCTTCTCATCTCTGAAAATCTCTCTCATCCTCTCTCTTTTTCCTTCTAAATAACTTTAAACAGCACACAAACTTCTATTTTTACCTTTTCCTTAAATATACTTACCTCCGAGCATTAAATTATTTTCATTTCTTTCCCATGAATATCCCACTACAGAATACACGCTGGACTACATTATTTGTATTTAAGCAAGCAGCGTTGGGGCTCCTTTCCCAGGTTGTTGTCATTAAAAGGACTAAAGCAAAACATTGAAACAAACAATAACATGAACTATTCTCTATATTTACTTATTTATTTAGAGTTGGAGTCTCACTCTGCCACCCAGGCTGGAATGCAGTGGCATGGTCTCCGCTTACTGCAACCTCCGCCCTCCAAGTTCAAGTGATCCTCCTGCCTTAGCCTCCTGAGCAGCTGAAATTACAGGTGCCCACTACCATGCCAGGCTAATTTTTGTATTTTCAGTAGAGACGGGGTTTCACCATGTTGGCCAAGCTTGTCTTGAACTGCTGACCTCAAGTGATCCACCTGCCTTGGCCTCCCAAAGTGCTAGGATTACAGGCATGAGCTACCATGCCCAGCCAAGCATCTCTCTTTAAACTACTTTACCAACACTGACAATTTACATTCAGCACTAATCAAAAAGGAAACTAGAGGCTGGGCATGGTGGCTCACGCCTGTAAATCCAGCACTTTGGGAGGCCGAGGCAGGTGGATCACCTGAGGTCAGGAGTTTGAGACCAGCCTGGCCAACATGGTGAAACCCCATCTCTACCAAAAATACAAAAAATTAGCTGGTGTGTTGGTGGGTACCTGTAATCCCAGCTACTCAGGAGGGGAAGAATCACCTGAACCCAGGTGACAGAGGTTGCAGTGAGCTGATATCATGCCATTGCGCTCCAGTCTGGGCAACAAGAGCAAACTTTTGTCTCAAAAAAAAAAAACAAAAGAAACTAGGACTTAAGCTAGGGCATTTCAAAACACCACAATTGCACCATGGGTTTAATAATAAAAAACAAAACACTAACATCTTGTGATCACTCGGTGTATGACAGTCCTTATGCATGTAAAGTACTTTACAGAATTATCTCTTATAACCCTTCCCAGCACCAACGCATAGAATGGTTTAGGTTGGACATTGCATACGAGTAGCACAGCTAAAAAGACTGTCACATCATAGCCCTCTTTATCATTTTGAAGATTGTTCATATTTTTATCATAACTTAGCTAACTTTGAAGGTGAGGGAGCTATATATTTATCAAGATAGTTTTCTGACAGGTGGCAGTAAAACGTCTTACTTAATATAATTGATACATATTACATTCTGCTTGAACTTACAAAGGAAGAATATATTTGATTATTAAAAGGTCTTGATAATCTAACAACATTCAAAATAACCTATGTTTCTAAATAAGTTTTTTTTTCTCACTGAAGTACTGATTACTATCTTAAATTTTTTTCAAATCTCATACAATCAATTCTCTTTAGTTCATATATTCTGGCACTTGTCTTCTATACTCAAGTAAGACAGCAGAGTTCTATTTTAAGTACACAGGCATTTTTATTATGATACAAATAACTAGGTAATAGTTAATATTAATTTAGCATCAATAATATACAAAGTATGTATTAAATTGACATAAATTAGAGATTACTATGTAACAATCTGCTAATTATATTAGAGCACTTGTTTATTTGTTGCTATGGAAATTTTATAATTAACTGCTATTAAAATTTTTGGCTTGTTATCTATATTGTTTCTAAATTTGATTTTCTAATTATTGTAATTAAAAATTCAAATTGAATATTATATTGTTTAATCATTTGATGTATAGTATTTATTCAGAATGACTTTATGTTTGTATAATTGTGATTAATGATAATATATAATATACTAACTTCAAAGGTTCTTTTTTCACTTGAGGAATGAGAACTTTTCTCTAATTCACAGAAAGGTGTCCTGTGGGCTAGTAGCACCCTTCATCTTTCAGCCAATTTCATGATGGAGAAGATACTGTTATTATCTCCTTTTTACAGAAAGGGAGGCTTAGAAATGTTAAACAATATGCCCACCATCACAGAGATAGCAAGTCATGGCGCAAGATTCAAACCCTAGCAGTTTGAGCCAGAGCTCAACATAGGCAGCATAACTCTCACAGCTGAATAGCAAGGTTTGAGGAATTACAGGTATTCCCTCCCAAAAAGGACCTCCCGTACCTTCCTGTCTGGATGGACATTTCTCTCACTGATGTCATTTATTGATTATGCAACAAAAGTGAATGCAGTTCTTTCAGAAGATCACAGTGGTGACAACAGAAGTTGATTAGAACTGGCAAGATGGAAGAGTCATCCAGCGTGGATTTCCAAAAACGTGTGTACATTTCAGGAATCGATGAGAAGCACATTTTGATGAAAAACAGACGCAGATTCAAATTATTCCTCTGCCACCTACTCAAGAACCCTTCCTCTCAAATTCCTGGTCCCCCTCCAGCATACAAAAGCACATCCTATATATATATCTCCAACCATTCATCTGTCCAAGCCAGGAACCTGGGAATCAGCCTTGACACCTTCCTTTCCCTCCCCACCCCACCTGTTCCCACCCATCACCAAGAACTGTCTTTGCAAATACCTCACAAACATGTTTCTCACCATGTGTACCATTGCCACCCTGGCCTCACCATTATTTCACACCAGAATTACTATAATACCCTCTTAACCACTTTCCTTTCTCACACTCTGACTCCTCTCCCATTTGCTCTCCCCACTACACCTAGATTGACTATTCATCTCATCAAGGAATGCATTCCCTTAAAACCTGTGAATGCAATGCCTATCATTTCTAAATATCAAACTCTATCCCAGCCTATACCGTCTTACAAGATGTGCCACCTCTCCTTCTCCAGTCATCTCCTGTGTACAGCAGACCTGCTTGCAGACTCTCAGATACTCCCAGCTCCTACACCAGGGCCTTTGCACATGCTTTCTCTTTGGACTACTTAACACCCATGTATCTTTCATTACTCAGCTTCACCATCAGAACTGCCAGGTGTGTGCTCCCTGACCTTGACCTTTCCCTCATATCTCTCCTCATATCTACTGGCCCATGGTCAGATCTGGTCACCCTGTGCTAGCTTCTCCTATACTGAACGTTTTGTTTTTTCCTGCAGAGACTTTATTGCAGGTTGTGATCATACATTGACATATGGTTATTATTGGTTAATGTCTGTCTTCTGCCATGGACTATAAGCTACATGTGGGGAGTGTCCACATTTGCTGTGCTCACCATTTGGATCTAAGTGCTTAGCACAAAGCACAGGTCACCAAATTCTTGTTTAATAGCATACAGAACTATGTAGCTGTGAGCAAATTACTTAAACTTTCCCAGTTTCTCTTTTTCTCAACTGTCAAAAAAAAGGGCGGGGGGGGTAGTGGGGGGAACAATACTGCCTCAAAGGTTTTTGTCAGGCTTAACTACAATCAGCTATGTAAACAGAATAGGCTCATTTACTTGATACATGGTAGCTATTCCTGCTATTACTCCCTATAATATGCTGTGGGCCATCAGAATTTGTCCTCATTTTTAAATTGTTTCTAGTCCTGTAAAAAAGGAAAACATTCACACAAATAATTAAAACACTATAGGATAAGAGTCTATCACATTACCCAAGAGGAGGCCCGACCTAACAGGCTTTGGCCTTTGCAAATGTGAAGTCGCCGACATTCAGGATACCTTCTATCATCTCTCCTTTAGGGACCATCAGGATCCTGCTGCTTGGATCACAAGCATGCCATTATCAAGAGACTGGCTCAAACACCATCTCCTCAGCATAGACCTTCATGATGCTGCCAAGAAGAATTAACACCTTTTTCATCCCATGTCCTCCAGCAGTGTGTGTCTGTGTGTGTGTGTGTTGTGTGTGTATCCCTATTAAGAAATTAAAGTTCCTCAAAGACAAGAATCGTGTTTTTTATTTCTATATTCCTGACCAAATCAACTACAATAAATGCCCAATTAAGTTTCATTGAATGAATGAATGAATGAAAAGGAAATAAAATTAAACACACAACAGTGGATATGTAGAAAAGACAAGCACAGCAAGAGTAACTAGGCTGCCCCAGGGAGGCAGTATGCAAGTCCAGAACCTCGCTTATGTTCAGAAGGCTTTCAAAAGACAGATCAAAGGAAGTGGAGCCTGGGCAAGAGGCAGCCCTAGTCTGTTTACTCTTCAATCACTTTGTAACTTACCTGCTGCCCCCACCCCTAGGTCTGCTTTGACATAAGATCTTTAAATGTTGAGGTGGGAAGGGGGGAATCACTTAACTGCTATCTGATTCCTCATCTGTAAAATAGAGCTACTGACACTGACCTTCCTCATAGAGCTATTGTGTGGGATAATCAATTAATAATTGCAGAATCCTTTGAGAGTATAAAGTGCAACATAAATGCTAAGCATAATTTCCATACAGTCTCTGCTGGCTCTTCTCAAGCACATTCCGGCCGACCTCGGTGCCTTTGATCTGCTGTTATCACCTGCAATAGAGCAAACAATGCCTTTGTATCATTAAGCAAATGCATAATGAATGGTATTCATTGTTAAAGATTACTTAGCAATATAACTTGGTTTTTTTTGTTTTGTTTTGTTTTGTTTTGTTTTGTTTTGCCTTTTGAATGGGAACATCCACCGGTGACAGGATTATGTAAGCTAATAGCTAATGTGTCAAAGGAAAGGAGAGAAAAGAAACAGCCATGGCAACCGGGGCAATAGGACGGCAATAGGACCCAGGCTTTGGCCTTCAGAAGAAACCTGTATCCACCTAGCAAAACTAGGATAAAGAGTAACTTGGAGAAAACCAGAGGGGATGGTGAACAGAAAAGTCGACAATGGGAAATGGCAGACTGTGGCCTAGGCATCCTCCGGCTGTCAGATCTCGGCTTATTTTATGAGACATAATCTGCCATCTTCAGGAGTGTAAACCTGGGCTGTCATTGTCCTCTTCCTCAAGTCTCTGGGTTCTTCCCTTCATGCTCGCTGGTGCTTTGGTGGGAAGATTGTGTTTTTCTTTGAATATCACCTTTTCTAAGGATAGAGGCAGGTGGCACTATGATCAGAGAACCTTTATCCTCCTCTGCATTCCTCCCCAATGCTCGATGCTCAGCTCTTCCCAGAGAAATGGCCCTCAACCCAATGCAGGGGCAATCGCTAGCCTCAGGAACAATCACCCCAAGATTCTCAAGGTAAGTGAGACAGCCGGAGAAAGACCACCTCCTCCCATAAAATGTGAAAAAGCTCACAACTTGTTCATTGGTTCATTTGATTTAATGCCAAAAGGTTGGAACAGTATTACAATTCCCTTAAGTGTTTCTTTGAGATTTAGACAAAAGAAACGACAAATGTTTGCTGCTTTGGTTTAGATTTTTTAAGTTTAGACTTCAGTACTCTAGCACAGTCTTAAGGTATTTGGTAATTCTACAAGTTTAATTTTTAAATGTTAGAGTTAATTTTTATGTCACGTTTCTCAAAAACTATATGAATTTACAAGGTACTCCTCTCCCTATATTCCTTTAAATAATACCCAAAACACAACTCTCATATACCCTTCTATGTTTTACTGCCTTGACTACAGGGATTTTATGTCTCTTATTTGGCATTGCTGTTTATTGTCACTTCCCCCATAATTCTGGTTTTTGCTGGCCTGTTTTTTTATTTTATCCTTTTGAAAGTCTTTCTTCACCATGCTAAGTCAAACTTTGAAACTTGATAAACGCCACAAAATTTTTCTTAACATGGAACAAGATCGCCACCCAGTGGCCATGCTGAGCTTCACTCTACGCATTTTTCCAGATTTTTCCCCTCACATTTTTATTTATCTGGACGGCAGAACAGAGGCGTCCTTAAAGAATAGCCCAGCCCCTTCATTTTTCTGAGGAGAAAATTAAAGGTCAGAAAGGTTAATATCTGGTCAAGTCCACAATACCACAATAAGACCCCTGCCTTAGGACAGGCTTCAGTCCTCATGTTTTCAACGACTACCTCAGAACTGGAGGTGACCTTCAGATCAGCCAATCCAAGCCCTCTATCGTAAAGATGAGGAAACTGAGGCACAGAGAAGAAAAATGGCTTCTCAGGGTTTATGGAGCTGACTAAACGGGACAAAACCCAGCTTTATTAACACTTAGCCTGATGTTCATTCTCCTACTTAGACCAATCTCATTTTAAATATTTTATTTTCCCCTTTGGATTATCATAATTCCAGTCTTTAATAGATGACCACAGTAGATAAGCATAAAATGGTCAGCCCTTGTCTTCCTCAAAATGAATAAAGTTATGCAAGGGGAACCCTCAGAAAGGTAAAATTCATTCTCATTAATGAACTGTTCATTGTTGGTATATCCAAAAATATTTCACCACTTTTGTTTATACTTAGGAGGTGACAGACTTAATTAAAGGCAATTAGAAATTCTAACTATGCCTTCTTTCCGTTTAAAGAGAACACTCGACCAGGCGCGGTGGCTCACACCTGTAATCCCAGCACTTTGGGAGGCTGAGGCGGGCGGATCATGAGGTCAGGAGATCGAGACGATCCTGGCTAACACGGTGAAATATGTCTCTACTGAAAATACAAAAAATTAGCCGGGCGAGGTGGCAGGTGCCTGTAGTCTCAGCTACTCGGGAGGCTGAGGCAGGAGTATGGTATGAATCCAGGAGGCGGAGCTTGCAGTGAACCGAAATGGGCCACTGCACTCCAGCCTGGGTGACAGAGTGAGACTCTGTCTCAAAAAAAAAAAAAAAAAAAAGAGAATACTCATGTCTGGTTCAAAATGTCTTGATTCTAGAATTTCAATAGTTGGATTTGAACACTTCCTTTGGCAAGTTAGGGATGACTTCACATTGTCCACTAACTTCAAAGTCCTCTTAATGACAAGAGAAAGATCCACAATATTGAAGATTCCTTATCACTCTAAATAATTTTGAGTTCCTAAACTCGGAGGTGAATAAGATTCACAGAGGGTAGCAGATGCTGCCTGGCTTTGCCCCACCCCAGATCCGCATGGTCCTCCTGAGTTCACCTGCAGTTGTGGTCCCAGGCAAACTGACAGCTCCCCACTTCCCCTGCTGTCTTCCATGCCTGAGGGCTTTGGAGCCTCCCCAACTTCTGGTGGGACAATGCTGAGTTGGGCTGCACGCAATTTTTCAAAAGATCCCCTGGGATTGAGCCCCAGCTGCCCTGGAGCCCTAACATGAAACTACTCCCTAATCCCTGAAATTGACCTATCTCCTTTTCCCATGGCGGTTTCCCCACTTCCTCACTTGTGCTTCCTGGGATCACCTCTCCAAGAGGGGCAATTAAACAAACAACCTGCATCCACACCCTTGCCTCAGGGCCTGATTTTCAGGGGATACAAACAACTGACTCTGCATTGTAGAGAAGCCCTGTTTTGCCTTGATGTCACAACTTGTCTCTAATAATGGTGTCCCAAGAGGTGGTTCAGTCTGGCCTTTCTCCCTGTATACAAGCAGATTAACTAGGAAGCATGAGAAGTTGAAATGTTAGGGCCTTTCACTTGAACAAGTCATTTTCAAGCCTTGAGAAGGGCTCTAGAAATCTAATCAAATGGTGTATGTTTTTGTAAAATTTACAAAAGCAAGACATTTTAACCCTAGTTAAAAAGACTAAAAAAGACCACTGTCTCTTTTCAGGTTGTATTCTGGTGACGGAGAGCACTTTGGGAATCTGGCTAAAGGGGAAATTCAGTTAGAAATACACATTTTAACTGAAATTTGGCAAGATGTTTCAGAACATTTCAGTAAAATAAATGTAAAATTACAGACTCCTGTTGGGAGAATATGGAGTGTTCTTTCTGCTATCTTTAAATCAAATATTTAAAGAACTAAGAGAAAATGTCAATAAGAAAGTAATAGAGTAAGACACAAAAGCAACAGAGTGAGCAATAAAATCAATAGAAATTATTTCAATATCAAGAAGTAAATTGCAACAAAAACATTCAGCATCTCAAACGCAGTCAGAAGAATAGAGTAAAAATAATGATACGCTTATGAATTACTTGATAACCCAAATTAATAAACACAAGTGAATCATATGAATACACTGGAAAAAAATAAATACCCCAATTTTTTGACACCAAATATTGTTATCAATGAATAAAATATAAACTCACAATACATCACCACAACGAGTACACCTATGACAAATTGGTTAATGAGTGTCATTAATTCAAAGTACTCAACATAGGATAATGCACTAGAAAGCTTGAAATGCCTTGAAAACAAACAGATCATATGTGCAAAAAACTTAATAGAGGTTTTCCAAATTTGAGAGCAATCCTAACAGTTTATATGACATTGCCAGCTATGAGTTGTGAAAGCTGTAAGAAATGTTTCTAAATTATCAAAAATAAAAACCAAACTGTAATCAATCATGGTAGAAGAAAGATGAAATTGTCTTTCTATTCTCTCTATGGAATATATTCCTAAAACATTATCATGTGAAGATGAAACTGAAGAGTTTGCTTTCAAAAATGGAAGGGAAAAATTATCAAAGAAGTCTGAAAGTAGGAAATTCGATTAAATATTAGGCTACATAAAATAAAATTTCTTTGTTTACTTTTACAATAAAAAATAGTCCATTACTTTTCAGGATGTTGTTGTTTGTGGCTCTTTGTCATTAAGTATCTGTCATTTCTTGTCAATCCTTTTCTTATTCCAAATAAATGGTTTTGATAATTAATTTTACATTTATAATGGTGTATTCTTTTCTTAAAGAAAGCCTCCTAAATTATATAAGCTTCCAGGACCATTTCTTCCCAAAGTTTCCTCTAACAGTGAAGGCCTTTCTCCTGTAACAAAAAAAAAGAAGCAAAATGCTCTCTGTTCCACTTAATACACAAGACAAAGACATGTACCACAAGACTCCCAAAAAGTCAATGCATCTAAGAATGGGAAAATAGTATACAACCTTTCTCACAGGACACGAATCATGATATTTTACAATAAATTAAGTTGAGAGTATATACATTTAAATTACATGCCTACCACATTTCTTAGTGACCTGCACTGCTAGTGGTTCCCAAACTTAAAAAGCAAACCAAAAAAGTCTGTCATCTGAGTTACAAAGATAGTCATGGCAAGTGAATGAAGGAAAACTGACAGAGATAATGGATCAGTATACCACGTTACACTTCTTAGGCTTAGGGATTAATAAGAAAGTAAGACAGTGTTTTACAAATGGCAGGTCATAACCTATTATTGGGCAGTAATAATTATTATAATAAATTGTAACAATCACTTTTTTAAAGTCAAATAGTTTAGAAAATAGTTTATAAAAGATTGCATCACACATACAGAGTGTTTTTTTAAGTGTGTGTGTGGGTGGGTGTGTGTATATATAGGGTTACAATGTAAAAGGCATTTCTTACTGTGGGTCATGGTCTAAAAAGTTTGAAAAATACATATGAGAAATAAAGGGTTGGGGCCAGGCATGGTGGCTCACGCCTGTAATCCCAGCACTTTGGGAGGCTGAGGTGGGTGCAACACTTGAGGTCAGGAGTTTTCAAGACCAGCCTGCCTGGCCAACAGGGTGAAACCCCATCTCTACTAAAAACACAAAAATTAGCTGGGTGTGGTAGCACATGCCTGTAATCCCAGCTACTGGGGAGGCTGAGGCAGGAGAATTGCTTGAACCTGGGAGGCAGAGATTGCAGGGAGCTGAGATCGCACCATTGCACTCCAGACTGGGTGAAGAAGCGAGACTCTGTCTCAAAACCAAAAAACCAAAAAAAAAAAAAAAAAAAAAGATTGGCTGCAGATTGAAGCACAAGAGAATAAGAATAACAGGGACAGTTACAAAAACTTGGTTTGGCAATCTGCAACAAATCATTTCTAAATTCATTGGAATTTGGGAGGCATTTTTCCTATAGAAATAGGAAGTCATTAAAATTTGCTTTTGTAGTTTCACCTAGGTATCCAATCATGACTGAAACATAGTTTAAACTAAAAATAAACTAAATTTTAAACTAAAAACAGTTTAAGCCATAATTGGATTCCTACGTGAAACTACAAAAGCCTATTTAACTCATAAGTAATATATATGTTATAATACGATATGCTATGATAGGATGTGATGTTGATATATTATGACATGATATAATAAAGCATAATGCAAGATAAATGAACTATTGCAGTTATTATAGATTCCTAGGCCGGCACTCTTCTTTCCTTCCCAATAGTCCCTACCATTTATAAGACTCTTAAGCAAATCATTTTGAAGATAATCTAAAATTACAGGATTTCCATCACAACATAATGTATACAATTTCACAACACCATTTAACATTTTTATTATAATTCAAGATTTTATATTTTGCACCTCCACTTGATTTGGTATAATTGCTACCTAAACCTTTCTGCTGGATTAGAACCACTGACCCTTCCTTACTCCCATCCCCTAAAAGAACAAGAAAGGTGTCGAATAGGCCTAAAATGAATAGTTTTGAAATGGACAATAGTAAGATCAAATGATGCACTTGTGTTAAGGTATAATATTTGTAATTCTGTCCTGAAGATAACTCTCCAGTGTTAAAACTGTCAATGCCTCTAAATAATGAAGCAAAAGAATAAAGAGTTAATATGCAACGGCCAAGCTAAATAAAAATCTGCAGAAGGAAAAATCATCTTTCATGAAAGCTACAGAATAATAAATGAGCAGTAATCTTCTGAGCTTACTGTGTCATATGTTACAACAATAAGGGAACTATATCCTGATGGTTATTTCATTTCAATATCATAAGAACATTTATTTTAATACCATACAATTTATATGTTGATTATATATAGCTAGATCTATGTCTACTAGATGAGCATGTTCACACAGGAAGAGGGAAGGAGAAGAGAATTACGAATTTATGAAATAACTTTAGTGTTAGGCACTATATTTGGTCCATTACATGCATTGTCTTATGAAGTATAATGAGACATAATACATATTTTGTAATGCTATAAGGCATCTGTTACTATTCTCATGCTGCAGTCAAAGCAGCTACATTGGTTTTCTGGGGCTGACATAACAAATTACCATAGATTTAGTGGCTCAGAACAACACAAGTGTGTTATCCTACCATTCAGTCATTTAGAAGTCTGAAATGGCTCTCACTGAGTTCGTATCAAGATGTCAGCAGGGCTGCCTTCCTTTCTGGAGGCTCTAGGGGAGAATCAATTTTCTTGCCTTTTCCAGCTTCCGGAGGATGCTCAACCTTCTTGCCTCTTGAACCTCCTCCACCGTCTTCCTCCATCTGCAAAGCCAGCAACATCAGGCCAAGTCCCTCTCACACTGTCAACTCTCTGGCTCTGTCTTCCAGTTCTCTTTTCCACTTTTAAGGACTCGTGATTGCAATGGGCACACCCGCATAATCCAGGATCATTTCCCTGTCTTAAAGTTAGCTGACTGGCAACCTACACTCCATCTGCAACCTTAATTCCCCTTTGCCATGTAACCTCACATATTCACATTTTCCAGAGATTAGAATGTGAACATCTTTGGGGGCCATTTTTGTGCTTACCACAAAAACTAAGTTCCAAAAAGATTAGGTAGCTTGCCCAAGGTCACAGAAGTAAAAGGAAGATGGAGCCTGGATTTTTACCCAAGTTTTCTTAACTCCAGCCCCCCTGCTCTATTCAATACAGTTTGCTGTGCAGTTTGTGTCTAAAACTGGCAACAATCTCCATGGTTTGGGTCTCATCAGGAATCATATCTTGGTGCCCCTTGTGTGTCAGGCACCCTGCTAGTGCTGCATACACAAAGATGAATAAAATACACTGTTTTATTTGAAGAGCTAAGAGTCTGACAAAGGAGGCACTGAAATTATATTATATTACAATGCAGTATGTGATGATGCAAGTTACTACATTGCAAAATGCAACATGGATTCTGCTGGGTTCCTGAATGTAGCAGAACTGGACCTCAGAGTGGAAGGGATCAGGGCCAGAGTGGAGAGCATGACAAGAAGGTGGTCAGTAAATATCGAAAAGTTTCTCACAAGGAGTCACACGTGTTGGGTCCAGAAAACGAATAAGATTTCGCCCAACAAAGCAGCTAGAGTTGCAGAGGCATTCTTGTGGAGTAGCAGGTCTCAGGATATACTAAGGAAATAAAGGAAGGCATGACAGAAATGCAACTAGAAAGGAATTTAGACCCAGATTGTGTCAGACCTTGAGTGGCACAATAAGAGGTCTGAACATTCTCCCTGTAAGTGGTAAAAAAGGAACCAGGAAAAACTTTAAGCCAAAGAGGAGCATAAGCTGGAGAAAGAGAGCTGATTTAGAAATATAAGCTTCTTAGAAAGGCTACTGTGATGGCTTCATGATAGGGGTTCTTGGGAAGAAATATAAGATGGTCTACAAAAAGATCTACCCAGGACTTTTAAAAGTTTGAAAACAGCTATAATTTTTTGGAGTTTCATATTCTTATAGAAAATAAAATGTACCCTAACTAATCAGAGGAAGTCATTTTCATTCATTTATTTAGCAAATATGTATTAAATATCCATTGTGTATCAGAATTTTTCTAAGTGAACAATTGGTTCACTTTAGTGAACAAATAGATACTGCCTTGTTTTCATGGATCCTACATTTTAGTAGAGAAGACAGACATATACTCAGAAAAACAAACAAGCAACATAAATAATAATGAAAATCAAGGGTAGTTGTACCAAAGGGGGCACACAAGACTGAGACAAAGAGTCGCAGAACAGGTATTGAGATCCCTGAGTAGAAACAGGACTGACTGATGCTTAGTCTGAATGTACCAGAATGGCCATATTATACTTGTTACAATATTGAATTAGGACACAGCCACACCTGCCAAAAATAGATGCTCCCAGGACCCCCAAAATACCTGCCACTGGTGCCTGAGCCACACTGGATTCTCCCTTAAGACTTCCTAGAAGTCCTCATAATCCACCAACCAAAGAGTTAATGCTTGGCCTGAGGATCTAGATCTACCTCCAGCTCTGTGACCTCTGGCATTTTTTCTGATTGTTAGACATTGGCTGTCACCTTTCGGTAGGTCAGTTAGCAAAGACATTGATAGAGAAAAAGAGGAGCCCTGTGTACCCTGAACCTGAACCTGTTCTACTAAGATGGAACCTTTGGAAGAAATCTGTTGATGTGACACTTAAGACTATGCTTTAAAAAAAAAAAATTGAGGAAGCAATAGAAAAGCAAAACCTCAAGGTTAGCTTGACAAAGGTCAAATTAGGTCCTTCTCTGGTTAGAATTTGTCAAGAAAAGCTCCAGTTGAAAAGGTCACCTTGAAGTCGAGACGGAAAAAGAAAAGGCGATAGCCAGCTGAAGAGTGGGAGGTGATCATCCCAGGCAGAGAAAACTGCATATGCAAGGAAAGAGAGGAAGCAAGCACTTGGCATGTTTGAGGAACTGAAAGAGGACCGGCAGGGCCACAGCTTATCTTCGGGAAGGTGGATCTAAATGAGGTTGGACATAGGTTTTTTAGGCCATAGCGAGGGATTACATTTTTATTTTAAATGCAATTGGGAGTCCCCTGAAGGGTTGTATGCAGATAAGTGAAGTGATCCAATTTCCACTTTTAAAGCTCATTTTGCTGCTGAATATAAATGTATTATAGAACAAGACTGAAAGCGGTTGCGGGAATGAATGTGAAGGATGCTGGCAGCAGAACTGGGGAGAAGACAATTGTGAGATCTGTTGTCGAGACAGGATTTTGGGAATTGATGATGGTATGGGATATAGATGTTGAGGGGATGGAGAGATCATTGATGAAGGTCGTGATATCAAATAATAGATTTTCAATGTAGACAAAACAGCCTTATATTGGAAGAACATGCCATTTAGGACTTTGATAGCTAGAAAGGACATTTCGATGCCTGACTTCAAAGCTGCAAACAACAGGCTAACACTTAATAGGGGCTAACGAAGTTGGTGACCTTAAATTGAAATCAGTGCTTATTTATCACATTAAAAATTCTAGGCCAAGTAAGAATTACACTAAATCTACTCTACTTGTGCTCTAGAAATAAATGAAACAACAAAACCTGGATGATAGTATCTCTGTTTACAGTATGGTTATCGAATATTTTAAGTCATTGTTGAGACCTACTGCTCAGGAAAAAAAAATCTTTAAAATGTTGCTGTTCACTGATAACACATCTGGCCACCCAAGAGCTCTGATGGAGATACACAAGGAGATTAATATTGTTTTCATGCTTGCTAGCATGACATCCATTCTGCAGCCCATGAATCAAAGAGTACTTTTTACTTTCAAATCTTATTATTTAAGAAACACATTTTGTAAGGGTATGGCTACCCTAGATTGTAATTCCTTTGATAGATCTGGGCAAAATAAATTGAAAACCTTCTACAAAGGATTTACCATTCTAGATGACATTAAGAACATTCATGACTCATGGAGGCTACAATATCAACATTAACAGAAGTTTGGAAGAAGTGGTTTCTAACTCTCATGGATGATTTTGGGGGGCTCAAGACTTCAGTAGAGAAAGTAATGGCAGATGTGGTAGAAGTAGCAAGAGAAATGGAATTAGAAGTGAAGCCTAAATATATGACTGAATTTCTGCAATCTCATGTTAAAACTTGAACGAATGAGGAGTTGCTTCTTAGGAATTAACAAAGAAAGTGGTTTCCTGAGATGGAATCTACTCCTGTAGAATACTGCTCCTGTGAAAATACTGTGAACATTGTTGAAATGCCAACAAAAGATTTAGAATATTACACAAACTTAGTCGATAAAGCAGTGGCAGAGTTTGAAAGGACTCATTCCAATTTTGAAAGAAGTTCTACCGTGGGTAAAATGCATTGTATGCTACAGAGAAATCTTTCACAAAAAGAGTTAAAAGATGTAGTAAACTTCACTGTCTTATTTTAAGAAACCACCACCCTGATCAGTTAGCTCCATCAAGTCAAGGCAAGACTCTCTACAAGCAAAAAGATTAACATTCACTGAAGCCTCAGATGACCGTTAGCATTTTTTTAGCTATAAGGTATTTTAAATTAAGGTATGTACATATTTTTTGTAGACATAATGCTATTGCACACTTAATAGACAACGATAGAATGTAAACATACCTTTCATATGCACTGCGAAACCAAAAACTTCATCTGTCTCACTTTATGGAGATATTCACTTTATTTTGGTGGTCTGGTACTGAACCTATAGTATCTCAAAGGTTTGCCTATATAATAAAGGCTAATTATTTTATAATGCTGTTAGCATATTTTCTTCATTCACAAAAAGGTTTGCTTACTGTATAGGAAAAAGCTCTACCCATAACTCCCTGAGTCAAATGAGTTGCCCATCCTCAACACCTCATTAGAATACGTGATAGTAATTCACAGACCTTTGGGGACAATGAGCAGGCTTTCAAATACTGCTTGAAATAGGGATAAACACTATATTTTCAAAAATAGTGCAAGTGTTCCATGGTTCCCTCAGGCAATTAGCTGGTTTTGTTGCCATAAGTTGTCCTACTTCTATCCCCACAGAATAAGCATTTGGTCTGTCTGCTCAGAGTTATCACGTTTTTCCTTTTTCCCTCTAGGTAGGTCACTAGATTCCTTTGTGAACAGTGGGCATCAAAGAGCCATTAAAACAAAAAAACCCTAAAGTTGTGCGAAATACAGCTCTTAATATTTCTCTGGAGCATTGAATCATATTATATGTAATTATAAAATACTATCAGAAAAGGGCACTTTACATACCATAATAGTCATTTTATAAAGTTCAATTTGGCAATTCCAAACCACATTTAATTTTCTCTGCAAATTCCCACATGGCAGGAAGATACTGCTCTCTGCAGCTTTCAAGTCTCTTTCAGGGAACGGTAAAATGACAACCTTTTAGAATTAGCACTTTTTCTATAAATAGACACTAAATCACTTATGCCAAATACAGTCACATATGCATTTTTATTAAAATAAATACTAAAATAATAAGTAATTTTCCTATATAACCATTTTGGGATTTTATGCAAATTAGAATTCTGCAATATAGTTTAGTATGAATCATTTGTAGTTCTTCATCTTCACTGACAGGTGGGGCTAGTGATTTCTGTATTAATTATAATATTTTAGCATATTAAAATCTGTATCTAGATGAAGCAGACACTTCAAAGCTTCAAAACTGATGAAACTGCATACCTCTCTTTTAAGGGATAAAACCATTTGCATTAATATGTGAAATACACTACTAAAACACCCCCTGCTGATTTCTTAGGCTTTTGCAGGGAATTATGCATAATTTTCTGAAAATTAAAAACCAAGGATTAGATATTTATGATGATAAAAATTGGATCTCAAAAAACTATTAAAAACTTGGAAGATTCTCCTAAGCTAGAATTTTTAACTCAGTTAAAAAATTATTTAACACGTACCAGAGGTTAATAAAAAGCATAGTGTAGACAGAAGATCTAAACTCAGTTCCACCACTTACTAGCAAAGCACTGTGCTATGGTCTGAATGTCCCCCAAAATTCATGTGCTGAAACTAAATCACCAATGTGGTAGTATATTGAAAGGGAGGCCCTGAGGGGGTGATTAATTAATTGAGGTAGAGCTCTCATAAATGGGATTAGCAACCTGATAGAGCTGGAGGGAATTAGCTAATCCCTTTTTGTCCTTCTGCCTTCGGACATGTGAGGACATGACATTCCTCTTTTCTGGGGGATGCAGCGACAAGATGCTATCTTGAGGTAGAGAGAGCAGCCTTCACAAGGCACCAAACTTGCCAGCTCCTTGACCTTGGACTTTCAGCCTCCAGAACTGTGAGAAGTATATTTCTGTCCTTTATAAATTACCCAGTCTCAGATATTTTGTTATAGCAGCAGGAATGAACTAAGACACATCTTTGTGAACCTACATCACAGAACTGAAATGAGAATTAAGTAACATAGGAAGCTTCTTTATAAATAGTAGATAATAATCTCACAAATGTCAGTTATTGAAAACGGCATAGTATAAGCCACCCATAAATTCATAGTTACATCTGGGGACAAATTATCAGGCATCTACAAATTCTCCATGCAAAGGTGTTTTACTCATTTAGATTTTAGTTTGTTTTTATGTTGATGTTAATCTTTTAAAAAGCTTATGTGATTATATTTAGGGTCATCTGAATATCCTCTTTATACCTGTTAGGCAACGTGTATGTTCATGGTAGCATTAGTGCCAAATAATTCAAATTCACTTGTTTACAAGCTACTGAAAACAGATGCAGGCAGACTTAATATGTAGCTTCCATGCTCTTCCAAAAGAAAGACAAGTGACAATGGAAAAAAATTTGAACAAAGATTTGGTAATAGTTTGACTCCAGAAACTAATGAGAACATCCAGTCATTAAATGGCACACTGTATCACTGGTAAGCTGAAACTTTAAAAAAAAAAAAAAAGGAATCTTGCCAGTTAGCACTAAGTGTAATGATTTAACAGTGTACATCACTGTCAATTAATAAGACCATTTATATTGGTTTTGTGTATATTTATTGCAATTGTTTAAATAGTTACATGAAAACTGTAAGCTTATGTTTACACCTAGATTCGTATTTCTATATATTTAAATGTTAATAAATTAACATAAATTAGCTTAAAAATAATAAGCTGACACTTGAGTGTGGCCAGTGAGATCAGAACTCAGAAAAGACACAACTCAGGTTGTCTTCTCTCTGTACTTTGTTGTCTGACTCTGGGCAAGTCAAATGACCTCACCTCCCCTATTTCTTCACAGCAAACTAAGAATAATAATCTCATTCACACAGGACCATTGCGAGGAGTACGTGAAATAATGAATACAACCGGGAATGAATGCCTTCTCAGGTAGAGTGTGTTGTGGACAATAAGATATCTGAATCAAGAGTCTGTACTTTCAGCCTACATTTTGATGCCACGTTGGGTAAATCTCCTTACCTCTATGGTAGTCACCATTGTTTTTTAAAGTTAGGAGATTATCTCAGCTCCTTTTAAAATAGCTTTTATAGAAGGTGGTTGGGTTTTCCACTGGAATTTCAAAGTACTCCCCATTTCTGTATCATGCCCACAGTTATTTCGGTTTCCATTAGCTTTTTTAAAAACTTACTGAGGGACAAAAACGTTAAGATTCATTTGTGATCAATGCAGCAATGTCCAAATATAAGCAGGGTTAAAAGAGCAAAATTATCCCATCTATCAGAGAAACTTTAATATTTTTCTTTGCTTCGTTGTTTTATCTGGTATAATGGAAGGGCAGAACTCATATTTGAGTCTTCTCTCTGTTCTTAGCTGTAATCCTAGCAAATTAAATGACCTCTTTACACTGGCTAATTATTCATCTGCCAAACAATTATAACAGCCACCATTGATCACGTACGAGCTTACCCAATGCCATGCGTGCACTGTGTTCTCAACGTGCACACCAGGCGAACTCTCTCATTTAGTGCTCACAATTTTGAGGTGGACATTAAGTCCACTTAACCGATGAAAAAACTGAGGCTGAACAAAGTTAAAAACCTGTCATGCAGCATCTGCAGAGCGGAGGTTCTAAAAACACCTCACCGTAAGAAAGAACTGCTAACAAACAACAGCTCTGCCTCTAAACACCCACTTTTCGTCTAATATTCACAGATGGGCATTTGGAACGTCAAAGGGCCAGAAGCCCTTAGAACCTTCAGGGCTGGAGTAAAGCGGCTGCACCAAATCCCAGAGCAACTCCCTCGAAATACCCCACCCTGCCCAGGCCCCGCCTCGTCCCGCCCTCCTGGTCGCTCTCCCAACCGCCCACTCCAGAGAAGCCTCGCCCACCCGGCTCCTCCGCCGCTCTCACTTGCGGAAGTCGCGGCGCACCCTGTCTGCCTTTCTCGCAGGAGGACGCAGCGCATGCGCTCTCAGCACACCCGGATTTCCTGTCTACTGTCATCGCTTCCGGTGGGGTAGGTCTGACCAATGGGGCTGGCTCCGAGGCGGGCCTTACGTCTCGCAGATTCCTACCCTGCGCGTTACTTTCGGAGCGTCTGTGAAGGGCTGGGGTGAGACAGGGGTGGCTGGTGCTTGCCGAGTCTCATGGCTGCCCCCGGGAAGCTCAGTACTTGCCGTCTCCCGCCGTTGCCCACGATTCGAGAAATCATTAAGTTGTTCAGACTGCAAGCAACGAAGCAGCTATCACAGAATTTCCTCCTGGACTTGAGGCTGACAGGTGGATGGCTTAGCAGTGCTCCCCGGATGTCTCCCCAGTGTCCCTAGGGGCGTGGGCCGGGGGGTCTCACACGTACCCGCGGGCGGGTGTCCAGGCACTGGCGTGCGACGGGCTTTTGGTCAGGTCCTTCGACCTCTTTGTATCAAAAGAACTCCGGTCCCACCGCCCAGGAGACACGTGAAGTGCGTTGATTGCTCACAAAACTCCGCGTTCAGGGGGGTGTAGCCTGCAGGCAGGCTGCATAGACGCCGAGCTCACTAGGGGAGTAAGGGTTCGTGTGTCGTGAAAGGCGCTGGTGAATACTGGAATCTGGGTCACTTTGAAATCAATCACTCTGAAGTGGTACAGCACATGCTGACTGGACTTGCTTTACATGCAGTTTAAAGTTACCAGAATTTAAATTGGTGCCAGGATTTTATCAATAAGTTGGTGAAAAGAGTATCCCTCGTAGGATTCGTGGTTTAAACGTTTACCTGTTGAGTCTAAGAAAGCCTCGGGGACGCTAATATTCATTCATAAGTATGTATTAGGCAAGCACCGTTGTGCTAGCGTTGGGGGTAGGATATGGGCGTGAACAAGGCAGTGTTTCCTCGAGGAGCTTACTTTTAGCAATTTTACATTCCCACACCTAATTGTTTAAAGTCACTTTTTATGAGATATAATTTATATGCAGTAAAATTCACCAGTTTGAAGTGCTCAATTTGATGAGTTTTGACGAATGTATTAATATATGGTCGTTCAACTACCATCACCATTGCTTAGTGATGTTTTTGAGATGAGATTGCAAAAATATATTACAAATATGGCTACTAAGTCAGTGCTGGAGTACTTAGGTTTTGAGATGTTCATATTTCATTCTGTTTGGTCCCACTTCAGAAGTTGCAAAGAGCAGTAAATCACGCCCAAAAAGTTCATTTTCACTTAAATGAAGCACACTCCAGAAAACATAAAATGTTTTATTTCTTGGACGTATAGTCTTTATTCTGCCTATAGCAATATGACTTTGGATAAAATAATGTAACTCTTAAGTGTTCTCATTTTTTTTTTTTTTTTTAAGACGGAGTTTCGTTCTTGTTGCCCAAGCTGGAGTGCAATGGCACGATCTCGGCTCACTGCAACCTCTGCTTCCCCGGTTCAAGTGATTCTTGTGCCTCAGCCTCCCAGGTAGCTAGGATTACAGGCTTGAGCCACCATGCCCAGCTAATTTTATATTTTTAGTAGAGATGGGGTTTCACTATGTTGGTCAGGCTGGTCTCGAACTCCTGACCTCAAGTGATCCACCCGCCTCGGCCTTCCGAAGTGTTGGGATTACAGGTGTGAGCCACCGCGCCTGGTAGTTTCCTCATCTTTTAATTGGAAGAAGGGCTTACTACTTTAAAAGATTACCCACTCTAAAATTCTTTGGTTCTAGTTATAGCTAGTGCCAACCTTTTCGCTTGTTATAGCCACATCCTAAATATAAATCACCATTCTTAGGGTAGAAGTTATAGGTCTATCTATATTTTTTTAAATATATTTTATATATTTATATAATGTTATATTTTTTAAAATCCTTCAAATACATTTTCTCATGAGCTTTTATCTTCAGGAGTAAGTTTCAAATTCTAGGTATTATCCACTCTTTCTATGGGAACCAGAGTTAAGGGAGATTAGGGTATTTACCTGAGGTTAGATGCTCAGGCAGAGGAGAGCAAGAATGAAATCCAGGCTCATTGTGCTTCTTTAATATTCATTTGTATTTCAATGTGCCTGAAAAGTTTGAGAGCAGAGACCTGTCTACTGTTGTAGCTCTCCATTTTAAAGAAGGAGAATATTAAATTTATTCCATAATGTGTCCTTCCTGTTCCCCTCTCTGAGAGGCATTGGCTTTAGAATTTATACCTGTGTTGAAGTCCATGACCTTGTACAAATGAAACAATAGACAAGGAAACTGAAAGGTTAAGAGAAATGAAATTGGGATAGGAGTCCTTGGTTAACATGTAAGGATTAGGTGAGAATGTGTGTAAATCGATCATAACAGGTAAGATGGTCTGTGGATGCTAATTCCCTCCCTGTTTAAAGACTAAACCATTTTTGAATGGTTAAGAAACTAGTTTCTTCATTTTAGCCGGCAAAGATACGTTGTTGAAAACAAGCAAAAATAGGACTGTGAACACTTACAAGAAGTGCCGGTATGTTTTCAGTGACTAAATTTCCACTATCCTAGGAAGACCAGTTCCTTGCATTTCCATATCTCAAAGTCACTGAGACCAGCCCATTGCATGTTTTTCCAGATGTGATGATTGGCTGCACTGAGTCAATACTTTACTCTTTTATGATGTCTTAAGGGCTGCTAAGTTGAATTTGATTAATTAAAAAATTTATTTTTCCATATTAACATGCATGTGTGCAAAGCTTTAAAAACCCTCAACTGCTCAATTTAACTTTTTCCTGAAAATGACTAAGAATTCAAATTTCTGAAAATCCTGTGATCTAAGAACTTATTGCCGTTGCCATATTGGCCACCAACAAGATGTCTCTAGATAAAAAGGAGACTTCAGCACTTTTTGCTTTTGGATTTCACTAGCAATACTAGCAATACTGAAGATTCTGTATGTGAAACTAGTGTTGCTTATTCAGATATTCAATGTTCAGTAACTATAGAAAAGCGCTGCATGCTTATCTAATCTGTTCTTAGGAGGTGGTTGGTTTCAAATCAATTTGAAAAGAATTTGCATGGGGCAGATAGAAACTGCAATATTAGCTAAATTTAAGCTAAGAAACTTTGTCATGCTAATCCTGTTTTTGTTAAGGAACTAGTACAGTTCAACGGTGCTGTGGTAGCATATTGAATTGCCACTTCATGTTAATTTAAGTAGAGAGTTAGTCAAATAAATGTTGTACGTAAAGGATCAATTGATTGGGTAATGGCTGGATTTTTATAGAAGATTTTTCTCGCTAAATTTCATACGTTGAAATTTGCCAAGTTAATCGAGATAACTAAAACTCTTTTTCCTCTAGATAAAATTGTCAGGAAAGCTGGCAATCTGGCAAATGCGTATGTTTACGAAGTGGGCCCTGGGCCAGGGGGAATCACAAGATCTATTCTCAATGCCGACGTCGCTGAACTTCTGGTGGTTGAAAAGGACACTCGATTTATTCCCGGATTACAGGTGAGATACCCAAAGAGCCTTCTTTAGGAGGCAAAAGCTGAATTTAAATCTTTATGCCATGATGCTTAAACCCCAGGGTACACAAAGATTATGTAGGTTTTTCCTCAACTATAGATCTCCAAGGCCCCATTCCAGAGATTTTGATTCCATAGTCTGGAGAAATCTGGAAGTCTCCATTTTTAACAAGGACTCCCAGATGGTCTGTTGACTACACCTTGAAAAAACCTGCTTTACACATTTTTGCTAAACAAACTAATTGTTTTATGTGATTTTTTTTTTAAAGTCTACTAACAGCTATGCATGTCGTGGCCCGTTCCTTCAAAAATAAATAATAATAAATAATGGCCAGTAATGACTCATTGGTGTGACTTTTGAGAACTTCATTTAGGTTCAAAAAGCATTTCCTCAAACAAAAGATGAGTAAGACATATGCACGCTTTTCATCATGAGAGACTTAATTATGCAGCTTAAGGATTCTTTTATAAGATAAATTTTTTAAGTGAAGGAAGGAAGTTGTACTTTCATAGATTTAGGATGAAGTATAAATGAAATGATATATACATCTTTAAAATACAGGCACTGTTATTGTATGAGAAATAAGAGTTGAAGGAACTGGGCATGTTTCAACTGGAGAAAAGAGGCCGTGGGTAGGAGCATACACAGCTGCACATCCAAGGTTGGTGGTAGATAGGATAAGCTTGTTTTGATCTTTTCTAAGAAAGAACTAAAACAAATAGATGGAAATTGAGGGAGACAGTATTGAGGATTTGAAATAAGGAGGAACTTACTTTTTTTAAAACGCTAGCAAACAGTGAAATAGATTGTATCAGTGATCTTGTAAAGGGATATCCTCATAAGGGAACACTTAATGACTTAAAGGCCTTTGTTTGATTCCTCCGTAATTTTAAAACTTTAAAAGAGCCCTGAATCTTTGGCTCAGATGACAAGCAATTTATCATGTGACTTTAATAGAATAATGTAGTTTTCTACATTATTATTTCTGTACAAAAGGAGAAATTGATTTAAAATGAGTACATTCTGATACTAACTTGTGTATATATTAATGGAGAAATGTTAATTTCTGTCAGAAGAACAGTTTGAAAAGTTGTTTTTGAAAACCTAGAACTTTTTGTGCATGTATCTGATTTTTTAAGAATTATATATCAGTTAGAGGTGGAAATGGGAACATTATTATTTTTGGTAAGATCATGAGATTATGAAAAAAAACTGAATAATTGTATAAACCCCTTTGGGCTTATTCATGTAGCCCGTTTTGGACATAGGAATGCTCACGTGACTTTTTTGCCCTTAAAAAGACTTCTTGTCCCTCATATGTCACCATTTGTTGGGTTTATTCTTTCTTATTAGGCCAGGGGTGAACCAGATTTCCATTCATTCCCACATATTCTCCTCTCTGATATGAACAAAAGATCTTCGAAGGCAGACTGTTGAAAAGAGTGACTGCCACCCTTCTCTTCTCAGTTTCCCCAAACCCCTAAGTCACTACGTTCCTAACTCCAGCCGTGTTTTATCTCATTCGATGTATCATCATCTGACATACTGTATATATGTTCTTCCCATTTGTTTGTTAACTGACTCACCTGTCTGGAGTGTAAATACCTGAGGGTAGAGATTTGTGTCTGTTTTGTTCCCTGTTGTACCTCTGTCTCACATAACAGTACCTGGTACATAGAGGTGTTCAGTAAACGTCTCACATGAGAAACAAAAAGGTTGACCGACTATTTCTGTATCTGTGTATGTATGTGTGTATGTATCTCTCATATTTGATAATTAAATGTGTCATTAAATAGTGAAAGTAAATATTTGTGTAGCATTGATAATGAAAAAGTTTTATGCTCTTTTTTTCTAAATTTGAAGGCTGATTTCAAGTTACATTACTCTACAGGAAATATATATTTGACTTCTCATTTGTTTTCAGTAGAAACAAAATTAATTCTTAGTATCTCATATGCAAGAAAGGAATTTGCCTTAAAAAGAAATGTTGGGTACTAAAATATCAAATGGGCTTTTTTCCCCCTGTAAGGAATATTTCAATATGTAAAACTACTTTCTTTTAGAGGTACTAAATTAATCATAAAACTGAGTAAAAGCAGAAAGAAAGTGATCTACTTTAAGGATTCCATTTTAGTGATTTCTAAGCTAATATAATTACTTTTTAAAGAAATTGTAATAATTTATAAAATATCTTCTAGCTGAAAGCCTGTCATTTATAGCTTAATTCAATTCCTACAGTATTTTCATGAGGCAGTTTAGGGGAAAGAAAAGCTGATGCTCATACAGGATTCATGCTCAGCATGTTCTAAAGGTAAGAAAAACATGTCTAGTATGTTTAGTATAGTATAGTTTTGTGGTAGAGACAGACTTCAGCATCAGCCTGCCTGGGTTTAACTTCTACTACTAGTTGGGTGACTTTGGGTAGGTAATTTTGTCCTCTGTGCCTCAGTTTGCTTGTAGGACTCGTATGAGGATTAAGTGTATGCCTGATACTTAGAAAG